AATTATCATATCTTTATTCAATATAATATATTTTAAATTTAAATCATGATTTAACATAATTATTATTAATAGAAATTACTATAGAAATGCACATGCTAAAACGACAGCTAAACAATACAAATGTAAATATGCTAACCAAAAAATATCTATTATTAAAACAATTTAAACATTTTAAAACACAAATGATACCACTTGAAAAATTGTCACAAATAATATAATCATGTACAATATAATCAAAACAATTAACACCTACTCGATCCGTAACGGTTGTATAGGGCTGGTACCTTATTTGTCAGGCCATTGTAGGCAAAAATATATTGTATTTAAAATTACAAATTTAAATATCATTCGTACAACTATTTCATAGCGAATAAAGTATACAAAAATTATCAAAAACTAAATCATTAATAGATACGTAAAATTTTTACATTAATTATCCCTTTAATGAACTCAAACCACATTCTCATCGGCCTATCGGTGGCTATACTACTGGCGGCTACCGTTACGGGCAAACCTACTAAAGCGCCGGCAGTTGATACGCTTACCTCCATTAGGACATCCATTAAGACCATGCTGAATATCCCGATCACCTCGTTGACATTAATGCAATACGTTGACAGTCCATTTCAGCCAATATTTAACTTGTTACTCAAAATATTAACTATGATATCAAGCTTTTTGTAATAACGAGTTAATTATTTTTAATGTATACATAAAATATTTGATTTAATTAAGATTCTGTGTATCATTTTGAGAATATAAAGTTTATCCACTTAGTATTTTAATTATAATACAATATTATATTTGTTGTATTTTAGATAAAATTATAATTTGTTAAAATACTTTATTTTATAAATTATTTACAGATTATGTAAATAATGATTATATTTGGGTAAAACTCTATAACTTTTATGTAGTGAATGTTGCCCTTATGTAAAATGTTCAAGTTAATATAACTGATTTTTATAAATTAGTTTATATTGTTGTATAATTAGTGATTTTTATTTGAAAGATTTGTCAATAAAATTGCATTTAAAAAATACAATGATGTAATAAAGGTATTTCATATAAAGTATACTTGAATGTTTTATTAAATATACAAGGTAATAATATTAGATAAACAATTCTTATTTCAACTATATTTTTTAAATTTATAATATAATCATGCAATTCTTACCTATTTGACTGCCTAAAAGTTATTTTTAAATATAATAGTTTTACATTTATTTGAAAATTGTATATAATTTAACAGGTGTTTGTCGCGACATAAAATTTGAAATTGTCTTAAAATTTAAAACCTCACAATAAATAAAACAAACATTAAAGCTACAAAAAAATTAACATACGGCACAGGTATGCACGTCGGATGACAAACTACTCATTGGACATTATAACTCGCAAATACTTTTTTGTACTATACAGTAAAATAACTATTCAAAATCTATACATCAGTTTCGTATTTATTGCTGGATCATTGGGATTAATACATTCAATTCAGACGCCTAATCATGAATAAGACTCTGATACTCATCGGCCTGTTCGTGGTATTCATAGCGATCGCGGGGGTAGTGGTGGACGGGGATGACGATGACGATGACTCCGATGATAAGTCCATCATAAAGTCCATATTAGATAAGATTAAGCCGTTAATTGTGAAAGTGATCGCAATCATGAAGGCATCGCCTATTATTAATGAGCCCGTCATTGGCCCCATCCTTACAAAGATTGTTGACATTCTTGAAGGGCTTATTGATTAGTAAATGAACATGGTGATTTATTATTTATGTCTAGTATTTTATGCTCAATAAAGTAATTTATTACGCTTATATGCAGTAATTTAATTATAATGCATTTATATTTTAGAAGTAATTTAGTTTATAATGAACTTTTTTTTAATAACTTGGTAAATTGTACTACATCAAAATAGTGATTATCGTTAAAACTATTTAATCATAATTATATACCGTATATTATATTTGGATAATAAATACAATATAAATGTAAAATTAGTATTGTATAATTTGATTTTTGTTATAACTACGTTATGTATTACGTCTAGTTTATTACAATTAGGACTATAAATATATTAATAATACTACTTTATAGATCCGAAAATCAGTATAAAAAACAAATAAAAGTTTCAATTAAAATTTACAATTATGATTTAACAAACAAATATTAAGTCTACAGAATCGCACATTAATATAACAATCAAATCAGCCTTCAAATCATTTTAACATACGTTCAAATAAATCTAATTATAAAGTATATTAACTAAAACATTTTTGATTTTAATTCAAGCCTATACTATAAACTGTTTGTTTGCAAGTCTATAATCATGAACAACTCTCTGATAATTATCAGTGTATTAGTGATAATCATATCGTGTGCAGTGGTATGGGTGGCCGGGGATGACCAAAGCTCCACTACCAGTTCTGTGATCGATTCAATTTTAATTTACATCAGCACCTTGATGAAAATATTGATGCACTACATTGATAAATACATTGATATCGATAAAATTGATGATTTTATCGAAAAATCTGGTATAATGAACACGCCTTACATTGGTGATATCGCTAAAGTCATCATGGAGAATCTTACAAAATTATTATCATAGTCTAGTTATTAGAATTTAATGCTATAATATATTTAAAGTAAATAGCTAATTATTTATTAAATTTATAATTAATAAAATAATTATTTATATGAGCCTATACATGTTAAAACTTATGTTCAATCAATAAAATATTGTTATAGAATTTTATCTAGCAATGAATTCATAGACGAGTTAACTAATCATACGACATTTAATATTTATGTCCCTGATATTTCGTAACATAAACTTCATTAGAAATTTAATATATCACATTTAACCAGAATTAAAATAAATAAAACACATTACAGATAAAACTCTCATCAATTTCAAAGTAAATGTTTTAGCATTTAATACTAATTCTACATAAACACCATAAATAAAATCTATAATAATTAGAAACTTGATTCACTTTAACACACGAAAAATTATACTTTTAACATAAATATCAGGGTTTTGATTAAAATTATTGTATAATTCATTCAAAAATACACAGCTAACCTATTGCTATTATCTCGGGACATTTGATTCAAGCACCATGAATAAGTCACTGGTATTCATTGCTATAGTAGCGGTGGTAATGTCCATGGCGTTCATATTAGTGGAGCCCACTACTATCGCGCCGAGCACCGGGACCACTATCCTGCCCGATATCAAAAGCCTAGTGACCAAGCTACTGCTTAAAATACTGCCATTACTCCAGAATCTCATCAATATTATGGAGGAGTCCGGTATTGAAAAGGTTCCCAAAATTGGCATTAAGGTCAAGGCATTCATCGATATGATAAAAATGCTACTGGCACACTTGCCCGAGCAATAATGCTAAGGATTTTAATTTCAAATGTTATTTGTTTGTAGTTTTCTTTATGCATTTTTAAATAAAATTTTGGTTTGATAATTTTTTATATTAATTAATTAAATTTTTGGGAGCGTGTTTGTTTTAGCGGTGCTACTTATTTTAAAGTGTTTTATTTAATTGTATAAAAATAAATAAATACGAGAGAGAGAGAGAGAGAGAGAGAGAGAGATTAAAATGAAGTTATTACAGTTTGGTCCATGGTCATAATAACTTACCCTAGTTGTCATTAGAATAATTTACTAGACTTAATTTAATATATATTTTTTCATATACACTGACAAATTCATGGAATTATATCGAGAACATATTATTACCATTTTATATGCAGTATGCTAAGCTGATTTATTTATAAGTGGATAGGGTAACTATCACGCCATGTTTGAAGTTTTTTGAATTAAAATTTTTGTTTAAATTTTAGATTGTGTCAAGCTCAATATGCTGCAGAATGTATTTTTTTATTTAACAGAGAATATCAAAAATGTGGTTATATTATAATTTTATAAATGAAATTATAGTTTAATATTGTTATTAATAATGAATTTATTAATTTAAATACAGTATAACTTAAAATAAAATAATTTTTATATATTTTTAAGGCAATTCATACAGTACATTTAAATATACAATATTAATAATAAACTAGAGTACAAGTCCAAAAATAGGATACAATAGTCTCATAATAGATTACTTGTCAACTCCTATATCCTTAATACCTGTCCGATAATTATCTTAACAAATAGATACATGAGTTCATGGATCAATTCATCAGGTTCTGTCTCTATTGACTTCATTACTGTCGATGAATATTATTTGCCACCAAATTGACACACGACAATTGCTATAACATTGATCATTATTATATATGTCTACATATTTTTAATTATTTGATACCTCATACTTGGGATGATTAGCAGTATTAACTAAATATATAGACAATAAACATATAAATAAAAGCAATATAAATATAAACAGATTAAATATCTATATAAAATATATTTGACCAGTGTTTTAGACATGTTTAGTATTGTTTGCAGTAATGGTTTATACATAATAATGTTAGATAAAATATGCTACAGTGCTATTTTATGATAGATTGTTTACAATAAACACTATGTTTATTATAAATTATAAATTATTAATTTATAGTGAAATAGGTCTTATTGCATTACACAGAAATTAAATAAAAATTAAACAATAGATATAATTTCAAAAACATCAATTCATACAGAATTTTTATCTTTGTACGAATTAATTCAAATTATTATTATATTTATCAAGACTTAATTACAAATATAATTACTAGACTATGTATGTTAATTACAAATATGTTATAACTAAGTTTTGTTTGGTATACATATTACTTGTTCACTTGCCGTACATACATGTACATACAGTGCATTACAGTAATATGTAAATGAAACGGTACCAAGCTACCTACACTAATACTTTATAATACAACATTATCAAACAAAATATTTATTTATTTAATATAATTTTCAAATTATTATTACATAAGAAAATCGACAGAATATTAGCAGAATATTCTTATATTAACACAAACAGGAGGACCCTGACCAAAATTAATACGGCAGACAGTATTTGCCCCAAAACGGGCACCACATTGATCACAACGGCCAGTATTGTTACCAGTGCCCCAATGAGACCCCTCTCCTTACGCAATATCTGTCCGGCCGGGCTGTTGCCAATCAGATCCCTCACCGCACGGACCACCTCTTCAGGCTTCGGGTCTTCCGATGCCATCACCACCGACGCCACGATCGCCACCAATAGGCCTACGAATACTAGCTTTGGACTCATTTTTGTTGAGTTTTATGATATTGTGAAGTATTATACGATATCTTGTTGTGAATTGAATGCTGACTTTAATTTAGATTTTATTATATACCGTATATGCAGTATGCTAAGCTGATTTATTTATAAGTGGATAGGGTAACTATCACGCCATGTTTGAAGTTTTTTGAATTAAAATTTTTGTTTAAATTTTAGATTGTGTCAAGCTCAATATGCTGCAGAAAGTATTTTTTAAATATCACAAAATACCAAAAATGTGCTTATTTTATAATTTTATAAATGTAATTATAGTTTAATATTGTACAATAGTTTGATATAATACAACATTATCAGACAAAATATTTATTTATTTAATATAATTTTCAAATTATTATTACATAAGAAAATCGACAAAATATTAGCAGAATATCCTTATATTAACACAAATAACAGGACTCTGACCAGAATTAGCACAACCGATAGTATTTGTCCCAAAACGGGCACCACATTGATCACAACGGCCAGTATTAGTACCAGTGCCCCAATGAGACCCCTTTTCTCGCGCAATACCTGTCCCAACTGACTGTTGGCAATCAGATCCCTGGCCTCGCGAACCACTTCCATAACTGTTGGCTCGTCGGACGCCATAACCACTGACGCCATGATTACCACCAATAGAGCCGTGAATACGAGCGTTAAATTCATTATGATTTCCGGGTTTTTACTATAAATCTAATGTAAAGAATAGGATTTTAAAAACTTATATTTTTTAAATTATTGAATTATCAGGGTGAAGTAAATTGTGATTTACAGTGTGTTACTTACTGGGCAGTGTGCGAATATATAAGTAATATATAAGCTGATTTATAAATTGTTTGTGAAAACAGTTTTTAAAATACAATATTTTAAAATTGCAATAATTTTGACGGCATGTCAGCTACAGTTGTATTCATTTAAAATAACATCAATTGTTTTAATATTAAAAAATTTTGTTACATTTATAGATTTAAAATTTTTATAAACTTTATACGTTTTATCTAAATACAGTAAACAGCAGTAATAGCTTTTAAATATAATTAAAACACTTTACACAAATAAATATTTAATTTGCATTAAGGTGCTGCTAACTATGGGCCCCAGAAAAGGGAATAAACCGATAAGGGCTGAGCACAAGTCCACAACCATGCCAAATATACCCCTCTTGTCACGTGGTAACTGTCCAACATTCAGACGCTTAGTCAGCATATCCCTGGCCTCACGAACCAGTTCTTCAGGGGTTGAGTCCATAGACGCCATAACCGTCGATATGATGACCGCAACTAATATACTAATGAATACTAGCTTTGAATACATATTCGACAGTAGCCTTAAGTTACTTATGTTTCAAATTGAACTGAAATTTAATGAGAGACAGAATTGAAATGAATTTAGAAACTGCTTTCCATTTAATATAATTATATATAGGATATTTTTGAGGTTAATTGTGCCATGATCATGCCAGTGCCATCATATAGATATCAAGCGATTATATGATTATGGCGTGAATTACTATATCTTCCAACTGTGCATGATATTTTATAAGGCGATTGTTTTAAAAATATAATTTTATGAAACACTCATATCTACCTATACTATAATATATTGTATATAAATATATAAAATTCAAATTACATGCGACAAACCGTTCATTTAGACTCTAGACTTACATAAATAATATCTTTTTAAAAATAATTGTAGTTTTGATATGTATTCAAAGGTAGTAATGGTGGGTCTATTGGTGGCAATCATGGTGTCGGTGGTCATGGCGGGATCGACTGAAAAAGCTAAGCCGTCGGCCGTCCCAGAGGTGGCCCGACTGGTGAGAGAGATGTACGACAATAGTGTGGCCAAAGAGATGGCACGTGACAGACGGGGTGTCGTGACTGGGGTGGTGGACCTGATAGCCAGCATACTTATGTTTGTGCCATTCTTTGGACCCGTATTCGCGGCATTCATATATGTTTGCAGAAATATTATAGTTTAATAAGTTTTAAACAAAATTGAAAATTTTTAATTAATAATCATGTGTTTTTTTTGTAATTTTTTGTGTGTTTTATAATAAATAAGTTGTAAATTACATTAGGATTTAGTTTCAATTAGAGATAAATTTATACTAAATTTAAGAATTATGTAAAATTTTTTAATTTCTCCAAACTGTATGCAATGAAAAAAACAATTTATTATCTGTATTATACAGTATATTTTATAATACTGTACAGTGTACAGTGTACACCAATGTTGAATTGAATGTAATTATTGTTAAGAATTATTATGAAAGGACATAATTTATAAATCAAATTATTATCCATATATATAGTGAGTGAGAGAGATTTCAATATGCTATAAGTTTTATTAAAATAAGTTTTAAAAATTAAAATACGATTTATTCATTTGAATACAATTATATATATATATATATATTATTATTAATTTTTATCTAAAATACAAGTCCAAAACTAGGATACAATAGTCCCATAATAGATGATTTGTCAACTCCTACATCCGTAATACCTGTCCGATAATTATCTTAACAAACAGATGCACGAATCCATGGATCAATTCATCAGGTTCTGTCTCTATTGGCATCATTACCGTCGATGCATATTATTTACCACCAAATAAACACATGAATGCATTAAAGGGTAATAGAAAACAGTTTTCAAATACAATATTTAAAAACCAGTCGGCATATCAGCCATAGTTGTATTCATTCAATCATTGTTTTAATATTAAAAATATTGTTACATTTATAGATTTAAAATTTTTATAAATTGTATACTTTTATCCAAATACATTAAAACATAATTTATAACTTTCAAATATAATTAAAACATTTTAAGCAAGTATATATTTAAGATCCATTAGGACTGAGCTAACTATCGGCCCCAGAAAGGGAATTAGACCGATAATGACTGCACATAAGTCCACCAACACGGTAAATATACCCCTCTTATCACGTGGCAACTGTCCAACATTCAGACGGTTAGTCAGCAGATCCCTGGCCTTACGAATCAGTTCTTCTGGTGGTGTCTTCATGTTCTTCTGTGCCATAACCGTCGATACGATGACCGCAACTAATATACCAATGAATACTAGCTTTGAATACATATTCAGTAGACTTAAGATAGTTTTAAAATGAAATACAAATATAATGAGAGACAAAATTTAAATGAGCTTAGAAACTGTTTTCATATTTACTATAATTATTTATAGGATTATTTATGAGGTTCATGGTGTTAAATATAGATATCATGCAATTATATGATTGTGGCGTGAATTTCTAAATCTCCTAACTGTGCATGATATTTTATAAGGCGATTGTTTTAAAAATATAATTTTATAAAATACTCATATTTACATATACTATGATATATATAAATATATAAATTCAAATTACATGCGACAACACGTTCATTTAGACTCTAGATTTACATTATTAATACTTTTTTAAATAATTGTACTTTTAATATGAATTCAAAGATAGTAATTATGAGTCTATTGGTGGCTATTATGGGGTCGGTAGCCATGGCTGTGACTGAACCGACACCTTTCCCAGAGGTGGCCCGACTGGCGAGAGAGATGTACGACAATAGTGTGGCCAAAGAGATGGCACGTGATAAACGGGGTGCCGTGACCGGGGTGGTGGACCTATTAGCCAGCATACTTATGTTTGTGCCATTCTTTGGACCCGTATTAGCAGCACTCATATATGTTGTCCGAGAAATTATAGTTTAATAAGTTTTAAACAAAATTCTACTTTGTTAATTAATATTCATATATTTTTTTGTATTTGTTTGTGTGTTTTATAATAAATAAGTTATTAAATTATAATCGTGATAAATAAAGTGATTTGTTAGATTATATTTGTCATAATTTGTATTAAGCAATTTTAGTGCTTTTAAGTGAAAAATATATATTTAGAGCCTAGGCAAATAAAATTTTACAATTAAAGTTTACATAGCTTTTAAGTGTTTTCCCCATATTTGGACAAATAATTAGCTCAGTCTTAATGTCTGTAAAATATATTTTGTAACAACTCAATTATTCTTTCAAATTCATTTATAATACTTAGGGAACCATTAACTGGCACATTTATTATAGTTTTGTTAATAATACTGAATTTAAGAATTATATAATTTTTTTAATAAACTATTTATTGCAATTTATTTAAAAATATTATAATTTGTACAGCACAATAATTAAGTAACTATTCAAGTAAAATTGACACACAGTAAAATTGATGTACTTTTCAATTAACCTATAGATTTGACATACATGTACTAAATAATAATTTAAATTATGTATATAGGAGATGGCATTACAATAATTAAGTAACTATTCAAGTAAAATTGACACACAGTAAAATTGATGTACTTTTCAATTAACCTATAGATTTGACATACATGTACTAAATAATAATTTAAATTATGTATATAGGAGATGGCATACCTGATACCTGATATATCTACCAGGATTATGTATTTTCCTATACTGGGCCCGATAGTAGCGGGATTTATGTTGATTAGCCAAACAATTGTAATTTAATTACTTGTATTAAATTACATTTAATTGGCATTTTAAGTTTTATCTTAAAAATTTAATTAAGAAAAATGTTTTTAGCGTAGTTAGAATAAAGTAAAAATGCTAATGTATTTAAATAAATTTATACATTTTTAAACATTATACATACTACGTAGACAAAATATTTCATTTAATCAATGGTTGACAATACATTGACATAAAACAATAAGAAAAAACATTTTTAAAAAGCAGACTTTAAATATTTTACAGTTATTTCATACATGTCATAAATTTGCTACTAAAGCTATTTGTAGCTTGTTAATCATATTTCATAGTTAATTGAGTTTAAAACTACTGAATATGTATTCAAAGCTAGTATTCATCGGTCTATTGGTTTCGGTCATCGTATCGGTGGTTATGGCGTCTACGGACTCAACCCCTGATGAATCGGGT